GGGGGGGGTTGACGTTCAAACTCTCCCAAGATTACTCCCGTGTACAGTCCACTAGTTAGTGATCCATCTTCAGTGCACGGCGCTGGCTGCTGGTATCCTCTGTGACTTCAGTAAAATGGTCATTACTTTTTCTCCAAATGAAAAACCATTTGAAATGTTGGAAACCAAGCTTCAAGGACTACAAATTTGCTTCAGGAGTCATGTCCAGATTTGTACTACAAGAGTTCATATTTGAATTTAGGTGATGTATCACTTGATAGCATAAGCACTATTTTCCAACTCCTCTTGTTTCCAAAAAACTCGTTCAACAAGAAACATTCACGTGCAACCAAATGACCATAACAAGTTCATACAAGTAAGAGATACTTGAGAGGTCAGTGTATTAAATTTCTATTTGGAAATGTACTTTTTGTTGCTCTCTAACTAGAAGAAGTGTTAGAGCATGAGTTAAAGTTCATTGAGCTGCTGTTGTTGGATGCATTTAAACTAGTGACTGAGAAATGAGCTGAAAGTAGGAACTAGAGGAGCACTAACTAAGACAATATATGAAATGAAGCGTGGAAACTGTAGGAATTTTGCTGAGCTGGACAAACACAAAAAGAGCTCGAGTATTAGTATTTCTGTCTATTTGTTAATGTTCTCAATCTCGTTAGTGTTTTCATATTACTCCGGATAAGTATTTCTCTTTTAGCGGAATAAATGTCGTCTTCTTGGATTTACTAATTTTTGTGGCTAAATGGTGTGGATTATAAAAGAGTGAAACAGGTTCATTATGCACTACTTACAAGATTGTACTCTTGACATCTGCAGGATGCCAATTACTGTTTACATGTATGACCAAGACGCATGTGGCCTGATTTCTATTGCTGAATACGGGGAAGAATATGGCAAGGACAATCCTATTAAGGTTCTGTATCACGGGTTCGGTCATTATGATGCATTGCACATTCCTGGGAAGAAAGGTCCAAGATCAAAACTTTAAACTGCATTTTGATTATAAAAGGTTTATCATAGAGGAGAAGAGACAATGCACAGGTGTTGCTGTTTAGAATCTAACAAGTAACGTCGAATAGTCAAGGAGATGGCTTCTGAATATGTGCTCTCAAGGAGATTCTTGGTTCTGCCCCTGATGAAACATGTATCTTTACTATCTATCCTCTTCCCTGATCTGTTAAGTTGAGTTCTAAATTACGTACTTGTTTGATAATGATTGCAAGATATTGTGCCCTTTTCTTTTTCTTTGGATAGCAGTAATTTGAGCTCTTGATGTTGCTAAATATGGTTTTACCTTGTGTTTACGACTTACGAGACAGTTCAGACTGAGCTCCCCGAAAAGCAGAATTTCATTTGCTTGTTCGATCCAATAAAAGTATTGGTTATTAACTTTCAAATATTGGGCTATTTGTATGTTCCTCCTCATTTTTCTCAAGTTGGAGCTCAAGTTCTAATTTAATGAGTACTACAGAAAGGAATAAGAATGCAAGCTGAAAATGGAAATTCTACTCAAAAATATTTATTGGCGTTTAATGTCATTGTATTTTTTTTTTTTTGCCTTATTTTTTTCCATTTAAAAAACAACAATAACATACTCAGTATTATCCCACACCGTGGGGTTTGGGGAGAGTAGTGTGTACGTAGATTTTACCCATGCTTTGTGAGAATAAAGAGATTGTTTCTAATAGATTATCGGGCCCCGGCTCAGGAAAGAGGTTAACAAACTACTTTTGGACAAATATACAGAGTGGAATTTCCCATTCCCACCATTTTATTTTACCTTCTAAATTTCATGCATTTTATTCTTTTACCAAACAATGTCTCCTTTGCGATTCAATTATGAAAGGCATTCCTCTTTTTACATCATTGTGGAATGGAAAAAGAGAAATGGTCCTAAAAATCCATATGATGAGAAAAGGAAATAGTAATTCTAATAAGTATGGACCACAATGGTGGATAAAAAGTGCACTTTTACTTTGCTTATGTCCTTTTTGCTTGGGGATGTCATCCACTTTAGAAGTATCTTTCAAAACTTGTCATCATTTCATCCACCATTCCCTCAACTAGCATTTCCAATGTCATATACTCTTTGTCTATTTCTTCCATTTTGCACACTATTCATCAAATTTTCCATATAGTTTGGAGTTTCAAGTCAACACTTTAGATAGTTTTATAGTATTAGTTACTATTATTTCGGTTTAATTATTCAGTATTTAAAATTCAATTCGAATTCGCTCCGAGTTTAAAGAATGAAATCAGATACAGAGGTTTTTTCCTTTCATTATGCACCATATATTGGTTTACATCTTATCCTGAAATTTTTCTGTCAGTGAATTGACTCAAACTTTTTAATGCTCAGCTTACAATGTTGATAACAGCTCTGAAGTAGTGAATATGTAAGCACTTAGCAGTAAGCAAATGACATACAACTTTAGACCTAATAGAAAATCTGTGTTGTCTGCCTAATCCATGATTTAAATTTATTTCCAACAAAAGTAACTCAAATTTGGACGGATTGAACTAATTATTACACTTATATATGAGATAATTTAATAAGGGTTGTGGATGCATTTCCCAAACAAAAGGAGCGAGAACTAAGAAGTGCAATAGCGGATAGATGACCCAATAGATTGGCCAATACTAGTAAAGAGTGAAAGACTTTTATTAGAGAAACTCTTTTGGGAACTAACAAAATCTTTTGAAAACAACAATTATGCAAACATGTTAATTGTGTTATTCTAAGGTTGCACCGTAACACAAAAAGGTGCATTGTGTCTTAACTGATTTTCGCGAATACAAAAACTAGTTCTTTGACCTGCCAAATTCAGACACAAATAACAACAACAATAACAACCATCACCCAGTGAAATTCTACAAGTGGAGTCTGGGGAGGATAGTGTGTACGAAGACTTTGATAGTGTGTACGCAGACCTTACCCTTACTCTGGGGAATAGAGAGACTATTTCCAATAGACCCTCGGTTTAAGAAGATGGACCAGACACAAACATCTAGTGCGGAATTTAGACCACAACAATTTTATGTGAAATTTTCTTTTGCTCAAGGGAGTAAAAAACATGACATACCCTCGTAGGATTTGCCTCAAAACTTCACTAATTTTAAAGAGTAGTTTTAGGTTCCAACTATATAACCAAGGGAACTAACTCTAGTTACCCGCCCCTACAATTAACTCAATTGTAACTAACTCTAGTACTCCTTTCTAAACTAACTCTAGTCTAGAAAGTGAAAAAAAAAACCTCGAAAGTTTATGCTAACCTGTGATTGCACTTCTTTAAAAGCAAATATGTTACAATTCAGAATAGAGACTCAACCTAACAACTAAAAAACTAAGCAACTTCTTTGTCGAGATATGATTCTTTCTCTCAGCAGTTTGAGTCTGTAAGAGCACCTTCTTGCTTCAGATTGCTATTGCCAAAAGTAATTCCTTGAAATTGTGCAAATGTCATTAGTCTTGAATAGCAACAATAAAACTCTTTTATTGAAGACTGAAGCTGCGCTATATGGAAGTTAGGGACTGAACTGTACATAAAAGAACTTGTATAAAAAATTAGGAAGTTAGTTATCTTACATATCCTATGATAGTTAGAGAGTTAGAAGAAGGTCTTTCTACAGGGGTAATTGCTCATGCATATATGTTGATGATCAGCACATTTGTAAGTAAGAAAGAATGAAAATAATACACACTATCTCTTCTCTCAAGATTATCTGATTCTCTTTTCTCTTCTTCTTCATTTATGCCTTCTATCTCGACCTTCATTCTGTATATCTATTCTTCTAAGAGTTTACATTATGAATCTAAATTAGTTCATGGTACCAGAGTAGTCAAGCCATAGAGTTTGAAGATCGATTCAATTCCGCATAAAATTTCTAAAAAACAAAGTTCATTCAAATCAAAGAAATAGAGATGAGTATCAATGGAGATCAAGAAGGTGTTACAAATGTTGTTGCGTCTGGTAGAGGAAGCAGTCAAGTTTCTCTTGGAATCGACTACAATCATCCTCTATTTCTTTATCCATCAGATGTTAGTAATATTCAGATTATCACATTTCAACTTACATGTATCGAAAACTACTCTATCTGATTTCGATCAATGAGGCTTTCTCTATTAGAAAGAAACAAGCTAGGACTTATTGATGGTTCTTATAAAAAAGAGTATTTCCTTGAAGCTATGGGGTACCACTGGGAAAGGGTTAATGCCATAGTTTTTTCTTGGATAATGAGTTCAGTAGCAAAAGGACTTCTAGGAGACATTATGTATGCTACTAATGCACAAACTGTTTGGGAAGAGTTATATGAATGATTTAAAAAAATTGATGGTTCAAGAACCTTCAATGTTCATAAAGAAATTGCTACTTTAACTCAAGGAACTGCTTCTGTGTCTAGTTATTTTTCAAAACTGAAGGATTTATTAGAAGAGTTTGAGGCATTAGTTCTTGCGCCGAGTTGCAACTATGAAAAATCAAAAGATTAAACTGCATTTGCAGAAGCTGAAGTTGTTTCAGTTTTTAATGGGGCTTAGTGATTCATATACCCAAGCTAGAAACCAAATTCTACTCATGAGTCCTATGCCTTCTGTAAACCAAGCCTACTCTATGGTTCTAAGTGATGAAGGCCAAAAATCAGTCAAGAATGTGACTGGTATTCTAGGTGCTAATCATGCAGTTATGCTAGGAAACTATGAGGCTGCTATGTTAACCAGAAATGGTGGTAGTAATCAGAACTACAAGTTCAAGAAGAACTACAACTTAGAATGTGAAGTGTGCAAACTCAAGGGACATACTAAAGAAACCTGCTATAAAGTGGTAGGATACCCTCCTAACTTCAAGAAAAGGAAGTTTGGGCGACCAGCTGCTTATAATATGCAAATAGATAGTTGCACTTCTCAGACCAATTAGAGTGATGGTTACAATGAATTTACACAAGTCAACTTTCAACCAACCAAACCAAGATTGGACTACTCTGATGTGTAGCACAAGTCAGACTCTTTCAATAGGCAGAATGCCAATACTGTTCCTACTTTGTTCACCAAAGAACAATACAATCAACACCTTCAAATGATTAACAAAGAAGAAGCAACTTCAACCTACTCAGCTAATACAACAAGTAAGCATAATGATTGTATTGCTACCAAGAGTCTTCCGGAATGGATTGTTGATACAGGTGCAATCAACCATATGGTGTCAAATTTGATCTATTTAAATAATGATACTGTGATCAAGTCTGAAATACCTACAAAAATATTTCTACCTAATGGTGATGTGTCTTTAGTTACACATGTGGGAACAAGTAATCTATTTAACAAGGATACTATTACCAATGTATTTCATCTACCACAGTATAAGTACAATCTTTTATTTGTGTCAAAACTGACTAAAGAACTAAACTGGATGGTTGCTTTCTTTCCTGAATTTTGTGTTTTCAAGATCTCTTGAGTGGGAAAGTGAAGGGAATTAGTAGAGAAAAAGATGGATTATATCTGTTTGTGACTGATACAAAGGAAACAATAAAAGTACAGGTTTAACAGTTCAAGATACAGACCGTAGAGTCAACAATAAAGAAGTTGATATACAACTATGGCATTGTCGACTAGGACATGTTTCTGTTTCTGTAATGAAGAAAATCCTACCTGTTTCTCAAGAAGTTACAACTGATAGGTTAGCTAACTACAAAGTCTGTCCATGTGCAAAACAAACTAGGCTTCCATTTCCTACCAGCAATATTAGAACTACCAACTGTTTTGGATTAATTCATATGGATGTATGGGACAAGTTTTTTTTTACCTTTGATGGATATAGATATTTCTTGACTATAGTATATGATCATTCAAGAATGACTTGTCTCTATCTGTTTGCCTTAAATTCTGATGTGTGTGTTCTCATTCAGCAGTTTGTTCAGCTTATTAAAACACAATTTGATAGAACAATTAAAGTCATCAGAATAGATAATGGTACAGAGTTTGTCAATTCTGTCTGTAGTGAATTTTTCAGCAAACTTGGAATCATTCATCCAAAAACATGTGTTTATACCCCACAACAGAATGTGGTTGCAGAAAGAAAGCATGGACACATTTTGGAAATTACTAGAGCCACCATATTTCAAGGCTCCATACCAAATAGATTCTGTGGAATGTGTGTACTTGCAGCTGTTCATATAATAAATAGAATGCCTGGCTCAATACTACAACACATGTCTCTATTTGAGAAATTTTACAGAAGAAAACTATCTATTCAACACCTGAGGATCATACGATGCCTATTATATGCTAAACATGTGCAAGAAACCAACAAAATGCTGTCTAGAACAAGAGTTGC